ACTACTTTACTTGTAATTAGTATTCGCCGGAGTATTACTCAGAAGTTACTACTGCAGAGAATAGTGTTGAATAAAGATATATGCCGTGATAAAAGTGTTTTTTAAATATTAGAAGATTTCAAAAAAATGAAAATCTGAAGCCATCCTCCAGAATACATAAGTAATAATTAACAGTTGTCTATGCAAGATACTGAGGATCCGTTGGCTTGACATCTTGAGTAACAACCTACTATGAGAGAGATCAAACCAGATTCCAGATGAAGGACAAATTAGCAAAAGGCGATAGAGATGGATGACACCTATAGCAGAAATCATAAAACTGCATCACAATATATTCTTCACTTGGAATTCCTAGGCGAGAGAAATAGAGGAAGACGAAAGAGCACATTTAGTCGAGAATCGAAGAGAGACATGAAAAGAATTTACGGCGATTGGATAGAACCGTAAAGAAATTCTCATGACAGAGTTTGCTGAAGATTGTTTTTATTCATGTTCGTCTTTTCAATAATTTTTACCCGTATCCATATTGTGTATTTCTTGATTTGTGGAAATTTGTCGTACCTTTCTTCTGAGAAACCTTATCATAATATATTTTAAACATATGTATATTGTTTAAGGATCTGCTATTTCTTTCTAGGTGATCAGAGAAAACTATCCAGCCATATTTATTATAATGGAAAACGTTATATTAATTCCGAAATTCCAGTGTTATTATGGTCGCTATTGTCATCATTCTCTCACTTAAGAATTGGCTAATATTCTGAATGGTTTTTTTGTGGAAGACCAAACGCTTTGTATTGTAGAGCTAATAGAAGTAATATATTTGCAATACAAAATGAAAGAACGATAAACATATATTTACTGCCGAAATGTCTGAATATGTAGCTGAAACTACTTTTTATTATTAAGTAACATGTATTGTTAATTTTAAAAAATGTCGGGCTTAACCAGCTGGCGATAAAACGATATGAGTATTTCGATCAATTTGTCGATATTTGTACATACGACAAAAAAATTAACAGTCACTCAAGATTTCGCTATTTATTACTCCATCATTTCGGAATTCATTTTAAAAAGCTACTTCAGTCAGTAATTGTTTTCATGATGATTGCGTTGACTGTAAGATCTGAATCTTGAACCATAGAACTTAATTTTTCGGACAAATAAATTAACAATAATTATTTTCATTTACATCTGTGTATATATTGACCATATTTACCATTTTAGTTCATATCATTTGATTATAATTATCAATCGATCAATGTTAGTCTACTATAGACTGTGTCCATGTAAATGACCTCTGGGAAGGACGAGGATACACACTGAGCTTTAAATCGAAAGTACTCAATCTAGAAGAAAATAAAAAGGCGACTCACTTACTTCCGTCTGTTACTTCCTTTGAAGCATAAACCACCGACCAGCATCCTCCAACCTATTCTCTTCTGCGTTTTCTTTTCCACTTCTAACCAACTGCTATTCATTCTTCTTATGTCTGTCTTCACTTCTTAGCGTAATGTATTCTTTGGTCTTCCTCTTTTCACTTCGCCTAGAACATTCCAAGTGAGGACTTGTTTTGTGATGGTGACTGGACAAGGGATACTCAGTATCTTGCACAGGAAATTGTTGGTAAACACATATATCTCGTGGATGACGGCTTTGATGATTCTACAAGTTTCCGTCCCATACAATAGAATTGTCTTGACATTTGTATTGAAAATTCTGACTTCGCTTTTTGTTGACAGTCATTTAGAGTTCGAGATGTTCTTCAACTGAGGAAAGGTTGCTCTTTCTTCTCCCATTCTTTTAGATCTTCCAAAGCTGCTGCTCTTGCTTTTTCAATCCTTGTCTTCACATCTGCATCAGACACACCTTGCTAATTAATGGTGATGCCCAAATGTGTGAAGGTTTTAACATCTTCCAAAGCTTCGCCATACAGTGTGACTTGGTTGGTGTATGTTTCGCTGTATCGGAGAATCTAGCTTTTCCCCTTGTGTATGTTGAGACCTAGCGCTGTTGAGGCTGCTACTACACTGGTCTTCTTATCTTCTATTTGTTGTTACGTGTGTGATAGTAGAGTCAGACCATCTGCGAAGTTTGAATCATCCGGTCACATTCGACCTGTTTACTACATCCCATGCTTCCCCTCAGAGTTTAGTGTCTTCATAATCCAGTTGACTTACAGGAGGAAGCTGAAGTGTGAGTACTCACAACCTATCCTGATACCGGCCTTGACTTGGAACGAGTCTTCAGTCTGTCCTGCATAGAGGATTTCGCAGTTCCATCCTTCACAGGAATTCCGAACTATGTCGACTACCAACTCATGTACTCCGTATTGTCGAAGGTTGTTCCTCCGGAAATCGCTCTGTGGTTACTGTCAGTTCTAAAGTTGATTAAAGAATGAGAGTTAGGCTTGGTGTCAGTGGCCACATCCCATAGAAAAGTACCTCGACAAACAAATAACCAGAAAAAATAATCCAAAATAGTTAACAAGCAAAGTCTAGTAAATAATACTGGAAAGTATTATAAGTGAATACAATTTTGGTTTATTGCCTTTTTCGGATCGATTCTCAATATTTCTGAAATAAGAAGTCTTAACAAACCATTCACACTGATTCTTATATTTTAGGAAGTAAATTCATCGAGTACTTTTCATCGTCCTACTACACATAACAACCTTACCAGAGTATCAAGAAAATCCTCTGATTTTGAACATTCATCAATAAACAAGCCGAAATTATCCAAGGAAGAAATTGATAAAATTGTTGAACGTTTAACAAAATATGATGAAACCACAGGACCACCAGGATCAAATCGAGCGAAAATGTATTTAGGTTTTGGACGATATGAATATCCACATAGAAAATGTATGATTAATCAAGGGAAAACCTTAGATAAAACAGAAGTAAGATCATTTTGATTCGATTCCGAAAATTTTTTTATGATTCAGAAGTAAGGATAATGTAAAATAAGGGGAAAAAATTGAGCGTAGTCCAGGTCCCCAGTTAGGAGACCTACTTCTGAATTTCAGAAGGAACTTAATCTTTGTAGGTTGTGTTACGGTTTGCAGTTAGAATCATATGCCCTTTACACCAGATTTTATTTCTCTCTAACGGATTATTCTTGTAAGGAATACATTTCATTACCTAACACTATCGCTCATGTTATTTTATCGACTGAGTGAGCGTAATTGAACTTGAAAAAACTCAACTCTCTGTTGACAAATCATTCTGTATACGATTGTACCTGTTCATTATTAAGGCTTTCATAAATAACGTGGAACGACTGTGATGCGGTGAAGGGAAATTAAAATGTAACTATTTATCGAGCATAGACTAACAATCACTTCACTTTTTGGGTATTAAACATCTGGTTTCCCTTCATGTTATTGATTTCTACTATAGGATTTAATTTGTTCTACAGATGTACTTCCAACACTGTAAACGAGATATTAGCGAGCACAGAGTCTGCGGGAAAGCTATGGTCAAAACAAGACCAATTCAGTTTTAAACTTTATCTGTTTATAAACATAAAGACATTTATATTAGTACAATAAATAAGGACACTACAGTTACCAGCTGAAACGAGCAAACATACCGACGAACATAGCATGTCTTATGAAACTGAATAAAACTATAAGCCACATCAATATAATAAGATAATAATGTCCTTCAATTAGTAGGTCATTTACAACAAAGATAGTTTACGGGCACGTCGGACACGATCACGTGGTGAACGCCTAAACTACAATTTGATTGGTTAGTTATGGCATAACTAGAATTAGTTATGGAAATAACTAACATCTACTTCGGACCTACTACTTGTTGTGTTGTAGAACAAAATATTGTATTTCACTTACTCTAACTCTTCCTGGAGCCTTTTCAGGGTAATTTCAGGTCCAGAGTCCGGTAAAATGAGGGTAGTGCATGTGGTTAGAGACCCTATCTCGTAAAATAGAAACCTTCCTAAAAATTTACCAACCAGAAAACATCATTCCAACTATTTAAATTGCTTCAGGAGTCACAAAGTCTTCATTTCATGATAAAAAGCGAGTTCCTTCGGAAGTCACAAGGACGATGCCCATTCTGACAACCAGAGAAACCATGATTATTGGCATATCGAATAATCGTACATTGGAAGAGACGAGAAGAATCATTTAAACTGATGGTTTAAGAATCATGGATCTAGTTTAAACTGATTTAGTCTACATGAAGTGTGCCATTGGAGTATCCAATAAGGTGTTAGAATAAATTTAGTCAACCAACCCAGTTCTGCTATCATATCTCACTAACATTTTATTGTAATAAACCATGGAGGAAACGTGAACCCCGAAAAACCACCGCTATAACAATTTGTTAAGTGCATCAATAACTGTTACTACTATATTCATTGTAACTGTTGCTTTTATAAAATATTTACTCTTATGACTTAATGTTTGTCCGAGATGTGAATGTGATACACACTAACTCTTCTACAAACTGGCTACTTAAGCCAGAAGGCAAGAATAACAGAACAACTGTATTTGTTTATCGAATCATACACATAAATACTGACTTCATCCACAATTGTTTCCCTTAGAAAATAAATCCATTTCTGAACCAATGATGTGAATTCGTCATTTAGGACATTTCTATTGGTCATTAAACAGTCTTCCGTTTCGTACACCTATTATTAGTTGTAATCATATATATATAAATACATATATATACATATATACCGATACTGTGAATAACTGAAATGGTGGAGAAACTCCTTAGCTCAGGTGGTGAAATTTCGTTCACTAAGCTAAATGTTTCCGTTGTGGAGCTTTGATCGTTCTTCTGAACAATGTCATCAGCGCAAACTTCAGACGGAACGGAAGTTTTCAAATTTCTCCACATTTAAACCGTAGCTTGTTTTTTAGACCTCGATCTTGATTGGTTGCTGCTGACTTGTTATGATAATCATCCAATATTCTAAGACAATTATTTGTAAGTCTAATTTTATTGGTTGATTCCTATTGGTCCTACATCTCGTACCAGTTTGTTGAGTATCTTCATGTCAAAGCTCAAAAGCATGCTGATCTCCGATAGCGGTAAAAAACAGTCAAGTTGCAAACAAACTCTCGAGTGTCGCTCCAATTTCTTCAGAGGGAGGTGTTAGTATATTCACTCAGTACCATAAGGGAATTATCTGTAAGTCCTATTCTACTAGTCGATTCCTGCTGGTTAGTTCCTATTGGTCGTCCTTACTATTAATGTCACGTATTTCAAATGTTGTTTCTTATTGCTCGTCCCAACCGTCAATGTCACTTAATTCAAGTTCCAGTTAGACCTAATTGTATAAATATGCAAAATGTGTAACGTTTAATTATCGGGATCCTTAGTCGGGGTTTCTTATCCTCTTCTGGACTCAGACCTCGTACTTTCAGTATGCTTGTAGAATACAGGTTCTACTTCACATAAAGTCTTCTTCTTTTACTCAATGTGGGTTTGACAGAGTCGGATTAGAGTAGCCTGTCTTGACGCCGGATCGTCGATCCTCGCTCGCGTCTACTCACTAAGGTAAACTCGTAATGGTTCAAGCATATCAAATTCACGTGTTTACATGCATTTGTAACATGACTTTAAACCTGTTATTTTTTGCACCTTTGTTTTGATTGTATCTCCTTTTGGTCTGCTTCTTGATCTCATGTCTGCCTATGATTTTTCTAATTTGTCGATAAACTGAGTCAATGTCAGTGTGTTTGTTGATTGCTGATCGATCACAGTGCCAAGCTCCTAAAAATTTCCAAGTGCTCTTTGTACTCACTCTATCCAATATTTCAACACTGTCCCAATCAGAGAACGAGACTCTACACATCAGCTTCTACAGTTTCTTCGTGTAAAGTGAAAATGTCATTAAAATCATTCATTTCGCTAATAATGATATCACACCATCATTCATTCCCCTTATGCCAGTCCAGCTATGAAATGGATGAACAATCTTCAGCTTCTCGGGAGTCCTTGAAGGTTTTTTGGAGTCATCCCATTACTAATTACAGATTATGTAATTTGATTAGATAACAACATTATAACCAATGATATTTTCGATTCCTAATATCTATCATTCTTTATTCTTGTATTCATTTAGATTGATAATTTAATTGAACGATTAAAAAATGAAAAATTTCCGAAAATTTCAGAAACTATTACTTATTCAAACAATTTAAAATGTGATACAATTAAATTACAAGAAATTATTGCACATTTAACAGCTGATAATCAAACTAAACTACCTGTTGAATCTACATTAGCTAGAATAGATCTTGGTTTTAATCGTTACGATTTTGGTTGCTCATCGGCTAGTCAAGCAAGACCAATTATGAAGAAATTAAATAAACAAGAATTGTTCAATGTTACTGAACGTTTATCAAAATATGATATTAATAAATATCCACCAGAATCTAAAGGACATATGAAGAAATGATGAATAAAACTAAGTAGAGAATTATTTATTTGTTTTAATCAGTTCAATTGTGACAATCATTCATGCGCTTTAATTGTAATTATATTGTGAATTATAATATAAAATTGTTTCAATTAATGAGGATTGAATGATCTATTTCACCGTTCAATATGATCATATGATCAGTGTTTGTTCGGCCAGGTAATTCAAATGGTAAACGTTACTATTTACGGTATACCATATCATGTAATCGGTATTGTGTATACTACTAAATCGCGCTTACATGTTTTGTCTGAGCCTTTAAATAACTATTCGAGTCATTATCACACATCTTTAAACCACATCAATTTTTGATTGATAGCATTGGATGTGTGTGTTGCTTACTTCGTTTGTCAAATGCCTTGCTTATTTTTGTGTGAATATAATCAGATAGTCGTTTCGTTTAAGTATAGGACTCATCAGCGGTGCACATCCATGACCCATGCTTTTCTCAGGATTCGATCCCGAGGCCTTCGATCTCGCACATGAACGCCTAACAACTGAACTGGCATCGACCGTTGTTAATCTCTTACTGATCGATCTAGGGATTTTGTTCAACTTCACCGATTGTCATCGGTAGTTACTACCGACACCCAACGAGGTTGAACTCCACTGGTCACATCTTCTCACTAAAACGTCTAGAGTTTTCTCATGAAGGTAGTCACTAGTGAGCACACTTTCTTTCAAGTTTCGTTTGATAAATGCAAACAATAGAATTATTTAGTGATTATTAGATAAGTGTGAGAGGATCACAAAGTTGATTCAAAAGTCACCTGAATGTATCACCGGGAGAAGGTGTATGCTGCATACTCTGATTAGTCTACGAGGAAGTCAATCATTAGTTGTCAAATTGCTCTAGAATGCAAGGTATATTAAATTCAGTTGTTAATTGTTATCTTGAAGTTTTTTGTACAAAATATATTCCAATTTCTGATGGACCAATAAAGTACCATGACCAAACTAGTATTTAAGTAAATGAACGTCGTACTTATTGTCAAAATATTCGTAATATCTTAGGCAACTACTGTTCAGCAGTCTACGATATTTATTTGAAGTCATAACTGTTAATGATCATTGAATCCCTTCTTGTCTGTAGGAGAGTTAGTGCAATATCAAGAGCATTAAACCACCTACGTTAGTTTCTAAGTATTCAGTCTTCTCGCTAATATATTCAAGTATATTTAAGTGACTGATTATTCTTCATTCTTAGTATTTACTTTCATACATCTTAATATTTGTCTTACTGTAACAAAGCTGTTAGATATTAAGAGATTACAAAGGTTGTACAGTTATAAAAGAAACATGAAGTTATTACTTTTAGAAGTGGATAGTGACTAGCAGTGAAATCCATGAGGTGTGTTTTGTCCTGTTGGAGATTCGTCATCTGGATGTACCGGTATCTCAGTGTTGATGCTCACTCGAAACCAATACCGTTCACTTTAAACGGTATTGAGTTATCCACTTCGATTAACTCATAAACTATTATCATACGATTTACTGTTCGTATTTCGTTGACACTGTATTATTGATAATCTCCCCTATTAACATCAACTGTTGGATATAAAAGGGCTACGGCTATTCTAAAGCAGCTTTTTGTACAGTCGCACGTAACAGCCCATGAAACTTTCGAAGACCTGTTTAGATCTGAGAATGCTGGTTACAATGACCCAGAGGAATTGTTGAATTTGGCAATTAAGATGCAGAACGATGCTCTGACTTTGGAACAATTAAATTTTACAGCGGAACTAAATTCCTTAGTAACACTGGAGTAAACAGTCAGGCACTTACCTCATCGAATGCAAGTCCAGTGGGCAGAGACAAGGATTAAATGGGACGAAGAGGAAGGAGAGCCTACTTTCAATGAATTAACTGACTTTATTATGTCTCGTACTAGGATAGCTAGTAGTAAATTCGGACGATATGGAAGCGACTAGTCATCTGCGTTCGAGACATGAGAATTCTTTGAATGTGTTCGCACCTACCTCACGCCGGAACTTAAGAGAGTCGTTAATTGTATTAGCAAGTTATATCACCGTTTAAGTAATAATGTCCCTGGTGTAGAATCTATTTTGAAGGTTTCGTGTTTTGGAAAATCCCTCCATGTATATATATTTGTGTTATGATATGACTGACTCTTTCTGTTGACATTTTGGTACTCCATCTGATTCCCTTTTAAGACTTTGTCATTGTATGTTGTTATTATTTTTGTATCTTGTGCTTATATTGAAGTTTTTACGTTTCCTTCTGAACTATACATATGTTGTCTAAATTTGATATTTAATATGGCTACAGCCATATTTGGATTTGATACTCTAGTAGTAACGGACTGGAATCACTTATTCTTCCATTGTGGTAATTGGGACCTCGAAGGTGTAATATCGTTTTAGTAATTGTCTGTATTTCCCTAATTAATATAAATAGAACCTTTTTCTCCCAGAATTATCTTGTTTTTGGTCCCTTACTTGGTGAACGCGTATGAACCTACACTTCTCGAGCCGGAGTGAACTGTTAGAGTAGAAAATCCATCTTACCTGTTAAGTACTTTTTCTGTTCGTCTTGTGGAACGGTTCACACATGTCGGAGTTAGGAGCATCCATATAAATCTGAAAAGGGTCCTACCAATTCAGTACAAATCAGGTGAGAATATACCTAAGCAACATTCTCAATACCTAACTACTTGCATAAATTTCACTTCTGTGAACATTGATTTCCGAAAAAGTTAGAAGTCAGATACGCGGCTTGCCCTGTCCAATTTCAAAACACAAGTTTCCTGGATAAGATCGGTTCTATCATTATTAAAAAAGGAATATAAACTATTACCCTTTCAGTAGTGGATTTAATACGGTAAACGCGGGCTATCGTCACTGACTCTAGATTCTAAATAAGTGGTGAACTGACACATAAATTTAAAATATTCACGATGATGACCAGCAAAATAACTTAACTCAACCTTTGACAATTCTAAGCCCACGACATAGACAATGTTTCCTTTCCAAGTGCTTGAAAATTCGCCTTCAAACTGCGACTTTTAGTGCCCTCTGACAATGGCTTACGGTAATAATTACTGAACAAAATATCATCCTTATCTGAGAGTGAACCCTTAAAGCGGAAACAATCAGAAGACATTTGCTTTTTAATATAAGAATCGTCATTCAGTTGTTCTTCATAGCTTCAACCCATAGTCGAGCTTGGCTTCTTCTACTTGCTAGAATTCATGAGAGTACCTTAATTTTAGCGAAAAAGAAACTCCAATTTATTGATTCAGTATTGATCAGAAATTAGAATTCACCGGTTCCGTTTCTTGAATTATTGTTGACAATAAGATATCCGAAGGCTTCTCCTCTAAATATTGTTTAGAACTATGGAAAGTTCTTTTCTGTGCAACTTGATTTCGGAAACAGTTAGAAGTCAGATACGCGGCTTGCTCTGTCTAATTTCAAAACACAAGTTACCTAAACAATATTATATTGTTCCGATCCGAAATTAACACAGTGAGTTTCCAATTCTGGAAGAATGTGTCCTTCCTTGAAATAGAGCGTGACTAAGAATATATAGTCAGCAAATATAAGACAGACACGCGATGCGCGAAATAGGCACAAATGAATAAAAGCGACGAATGATTGACAAAGTCAAATGTCAAGCGGGACATATCATTTGAGTTCATACAAACCTGACAATAATGAGAACGAATGGTACATATAAATTGTTGCTATGCAAAGGACTTGATTAAATAAACTAATCGAAAGGGCTTTACCAAGATAGATGTAAGCCAACTGGAATATATGTGGAGGCACTTCATCTGCATGAAAAACGTGAGAGATTTACAAACCTGTATGCCTTCATCAAACTGATCATCGGCGGCACAATATTACTACACAAACGCATTGACAAAGCCACATGGATTTCACCGGACCACACTACTCAGAACCAAATTGACCATATCCCTATCGACAAAAAAATCACAAGGACTATGGAGGATGTGAGAACGAAGAGAGGAGCTGACATAGCCTTAGTTCATCACTTGCTGGTCTCCAAAATGAAACAGAAACTCAAGAAACACTGCATAACGAGGCAGATAACATCACACAACTTTAATACAGCCTTTTCTCGGGATACTGTAAAGCTAAACGAATTAGGGATAGCCCTCACCAATAGGTTCCAGGCCTTTCAGGATCTACTCAATGGAGAGAACGCAACATTAGAGAACAATTGAAAAGGAATAAAGGAGGCAATCACTTCAACGTGTCACGAAGTTCCAGGTCACAATAAGCACCTTCACAAGGAATGGATGTCTGTTGGAACTCTTGCAAAATTGAATAAGGGAGGAACAAAAAGGCAGTAATCAATATCAGCCGAACAAGAGCAGAGAAGGTTAAGGCACGAGCTGCATACACTGAAGCAAACAGGGAAGTGAAGAAGAGCATCAGAGCTGACAAACGAAAATATGTGGAAGATCTAGCAATGACGGCGGAAAAGGCTGCAAGAGACGGAAACTTTAGACAACTGTACGAAACAACAAAGAAGCTCACCGGAAACTATCGTAAACCAGAACGACCAGATCGAAATACCAAAGAAAGGCGACCTCAGCAAGTGTGAGAACTACAGAGGCATCACTCTTCTTTCAATACCAGATGAAGTGTTCAACAGGGTGTTGTTAAACACAATGAAGGACTTCGTAGACTTCCAACTTCGAGATCAACAGGCTGCATTTCGTAAGGATCGATCGTGTACTGATCTACTTATGAAGACGTCAGTATCTGGAGAGACGCATATTATTCATTGGACAGCTAGGACGCAGCTGGACTATCTGAACTTTGCAGATGATCTGGCTCTTCTATCGCACACGCAACAATAAATGCAAGAGAAGACGACCAGAGTAGCAGCAGCCTCTGCAGCTGCAGGTCTCAACATACATAAAGGAAAAAGCGAAATTCTCTGATACAACACAATACACACCAACCAAATCACTCTTGATAGAGATG